TATACAGTCGACCCCCCTATAAGATCATTGATTTTTCCGTTTTATCTGAATTACATGTTGTACGAGTCACTTAGATTTTACAAATATGTGAGCCGTTCACAGCCCGGCACACGTATTTGTAAAATCTAAGTGACTCGTACAACATGTAATTCAGATAAAACGGAAAAATCAATGATCTTATAGGGGGGTCGACTGTAATAGTATAATAATAAAAATAACTGAATAGAGAAAAAATTAAAATGATGGGGGGAAAAGAGAATTAAGTGTGAGTTTTCCTTGGCATTAAAAAGTTTAAGTTTAACAAACAATATTTTACTGTTTTCATTTACCATTATAAAATACCTTTATCAATGGCTACTAAAGTAATGCAATTCACAGATTTATGTTAACAAAATGTATTTGTGTAACTAATAGAGCTAAGTAGCAGTGCATTTACAAGTATGACTGCTTCAATATGTGGCACTGATGGATATAAGGAAACCATGTCAGTTTTATATAAGCAGAACAAGCAAGTGGGCAGACTCTAACTTAGCAGAGATGACTGATTTAGCATCCAATGGTTACAAAGTCTAGCAAATAGATTCTTCTGTAGTATCTCGGATATATCGGAATATATCAAGCTTAGATAATGGGAAATAAATTGAGGGACTACAAAAATATAACGAGAATAATGACAGACATGTTTAATAACTACAAAGAGAAACATAAAGAATTAACACTATAACTGACACCACTTCATTTCCATGCTTAATTGACTAACAATTGGTCGAGGTTACTCCAACATAAACATTAATTGCACCCTCAATGATGCATATATACAAGTACCATATTCACACTACTTATACCATGTGTAGGAATACTCTTCTTGGCACTGATTCTGGGGCTTTTCTCTTCTGGTGATTCTCTTCCTTTCAACCCCTCTATTCAAACCCACGTGTTTTATAAAGTCACAACCATATATTTTAAAATAATGAGTATTAATGGAACCTAACATGACTATTTATTCACCTTATTATCCTTTGTGCCAATCTACCTGCAATCTCTTGTCGATGGAATCAGATTACCTTTTCTTAAGAGATATACAATCTTTTCTTTGTCCTAACTGAAACTCCACATGGCTTCACACTCACTTGTTTTGTCCCAAAGTCCTTCCATAGGTTAACGTCCAAGAAATAGGAAGGCAAAGAAAAAAACTTCCTCTGACAAGTTGAACCTTCACTTTTATACCTCCTGCCATTGCCTGTCATGTGACCTGGCAGTCAATTAGCAGTGTCTTCACTGTGCGACCTGGAATAGGGTGGTACAGGACAAATCCAAAAACACATGTGTAACACAACACAACACAAAACCTGACACAAGCTGAACAGAATTACAATTACACATGATACAGATATAAATTAACAAATTTAGGAAGTCTCTCCACAAGTATAGTAGCGCAGCACTACACTTCAAATACCAAATGAACAACTGGATTTTTTATGGGGCTATGAGGCTAAATAATTAGTAAGCAATTTGGCAGGAGGTAGGCTGCCTGCTCTTGTTAAATCTAATAATTGTAAATAAATAAAATTTAAATTTTAGAGTATTCTGGAAGAAATGGGTATGTGAGTACAATATAAGCAAGGTACTGCGAAGTATGCAATGCCGTAACATTGTAATGCCATTTTTCTCTAAATATGTTTTATTGAATTCTAAATGCAATGTTTTCTGTTGCAAAATATTGTGGCGGTAGTGGCACAGTAAGTGGCTGTATTTTGAAGTTGAATTTATGTGAAGCCGTAACATTTAAGGCACTAGAGTGCAAATCACGTGAGTTTTGGCACTTAAAACATATCAGCTTACATTTACATCATTTCATATTCCAGAGAATTTTTAACTTACAAGTTAGTAAGCTTTTTACTGTTTTATTGTAAAATTGAAATGAATTCATTCACTAGAAAAGTGTTTCTGACATTTACAACATTATGGCATTGTATGCTTCAGTCTTATAAACTGCAAGTGTGTAAGGACCTTTTTACAGTTTTAATAAATGTTATGTTCATATAAAACATTTTAGAATTTAAGACAGAAAAATTAATATTTTATATATATATATATAATAGGGCAAGAAGAGGTTAATACTGCAATTACTATTTATGTTTAAGGCCAAATGATCTGCCAAATTATCAGGCTATAATTAAGGCCTTAATATAGCTTGATAATCTGGCTTAAATATAAACATTCAATCCGATAACCTAAATTTTAATTAATGTTTAGTTTTGTGTAAAAGGGTCATGAAATTTTTAGATTTAAGGAATTTTGGCAACAAAAGGTTTGAAAAGCACTATTGTGTTGAGTATGAGGTAACAGTGTAAGTCATTGGAGAAATAAATCCATGTCCATTTTAATTAGTCATGGCCAGCAGCACCTGCAGACTATATAAAGACTGTCCACAAATTGTGTATCATATATGCAAGGCCAACTTTTAGTCAATGTATGACAAAGTTGCATGGGACATTGTTCATTAATTTCTTTTATATTTGCAAAATAGGCTAGAAGTCATGAATTTTCTAGTGTTTGTTGATAATGAAATTTGGGAGCCCTTGGAGATAGGACAATGTTTCTCAGGCAGGGAAACATTGTCCAGCATGATGATGACACTAGGTGTGGATGCAATTGGATTGATTGGCATACTAGATCGATCCTGAAAAGAGGCATGCCATATTAGGTGCCTCAGGTACTTAAGAATAAACAAATTCTCACGTATGGAAAAATCAACAATTTATTTGACTATTATTTTGTATACAATAATGACGGACCAAAACACATTAATTTTGTTTCTCATTTAAGCGTGGAAATTTAGAATTTGGAGCCGTGAAAACAGTTACCGTCTTTACATACATTATTTAAATGTTAACGTCTTCATAAAATTCAAAAAATAAAACAATAACAGGCATCTAAAAGCTATGTTTGCAACTAAAAAATTTTAACAATGACTAACAATTACAATTGAAATGGGATAGCACCATTTGGTTATAAATTCTATAAATCTATAATAACAAAATAAAAAAAATTGGAGATCACTCAACACTATGTAGCAGTATCTAAAATTATTATACATATCCTCCGATATGCTGGTAACTTTTTACAAAATTTCGGATGTTAACCTTTTAAATATCCCGATTAAAATGAAATTTACGACCTTGTGTACCCGACACAAGGTCGAACAACACATAAGATACAATACGTACGTTTGCACCGTATTAGTCATGTCAATATGACAGCAATACACATTATCACAACACAGTAAATAAGCTGCATAATATGCTAGTTATTAAGGCCTGATCATACTTTTATCAGAATATTTCGCACGTCTTTCGAAACAGATGGAATGAACTTCTAAGGCAATTTTATAGATATGTACTTTTTGATTTTCTGGAACGTCGATTAGGCACGTTATAATAATTTAGTCAAATATTTCTGTTCTTTCGACTGTCACAATAGGATAACATACACATTACAAAACACCGGTACCATTACGGTAAATCAAAATGACTACAATCTTTTCCATACAACTCTATTAGAAAAGTCGCCGTGCTGATTCATATGGGTGGAGGGCCATCCGGATATTTCAGCATGGGGTCGAATGATCTGGCAAAATTATTCGTAAGCACGCAGCTGAAATCATTTTCTGACATGGGAACCAGACTAGCTATGCCCAACAGCAACAACATGAGTCCCTGGATGGGTAACGATGCCCTCGCCACTCGAGACAAATATCGGTAACAACGGTTCAGTCTTGATCGTTCTACTTCAGATTCTCTCAAACTGAAAGAATTAGAATATTAAAAATATATATTGTGAAAATAGATAAAAGTTATCAGATTGTAAAGATGAAATTTAGATATTTTGATTTTTTTCTAGAAACAACTGGGAAAAATATTCTAGAAAATTCAATGTAGAGTAACCAAAGGGTGTTTCATCACATATTTCGTTTTGAAATATAGGCATCAGCAACGTGTTTATCATGTCATTGCAGATGACATGCAAAGTGTTTTTTTAAAGCATTCACAGGCGAGCAAGTGTCAAAGGACAGACAATGCCAAATAAATGCTTTCTGCACTATAACGATGGAGCTGTTTCCAACCAAATCACTGTCATGGAAGAACTCTGTGTTCAAATGATCCAGTTGGTCACAGTAAAGATCAAAGAACTTTGTACAAAGTCCAATACCACCACAACAAAAATTAACAGTGTATCAGCGCATGAGCAAAGAGAACCTTAGAGAAGCTGGCCAACCTAGGCTGTGAGGTCCTACTTTATGTATTTCATGTCCTGCAGAATCATATTGTCCATATACAGTTCAATGACAATACCAATGCTCAAAACTTTCTTCAAAGGAAATCTGTGGTCATTCCATGCTCAAGGGATTGAAAAATTGCAGTAAAGGTGGTAAGATGTGGTTGATATTTGTGGTGATTGATGACCAAACTTTAACTGTTGAGTTAACTGTCAATAAAGTTTTTTTCAAAATGTGCACATTTCACCTTTACAGTCTGGTAAATATAAAATATATGAAAGTAATGTTTTGATGTTAGAGATGCCAATAACCCATATATACTATATACACTTGTTGACAAAAAATTTATGCACCAAGGAGGTGGTATCGGAATTGAATGAAGTGATGACAGTAATGAGTAAATACAATATTGTAGCAAAGGAACAATTTCAAGGCACTTTTAGTACCTTATAAAACCTCCTCTTACCTGGATATGTTTCAAGTACTGTATATAAATAGGCATGGAAGGATACAGGCATCATCATATGCTAATAAAAGATTTGCCCACAGATGGTGCAGCTGTTGTTCCAGTCCTGCATACTTACAGTATAGATGGCCAAAGCTGGCATCCCTGGTGTTCTGACCTGGGAAAGCTGTGTGTCATTAAACATCAAAGACAAGATTAAAGGACTTGCCAGTACTTCTGCACGTGCTAACATGGTGACCGTCTGTTCTCAAACAAAACCGGAATCCATTGTTGTCGTGGCACTACAGAAAAAGCAGATGACGACAGGGAATGGCAGAATGTGTAGAAGTTACTGTGAATGCAAACTTTCCTCTGTTAGTCACTTGCCAATGGTATGGGAAAAGCCTGGGTTCTGTAGCAAGGCTTTCACCTGTCTCTGGATAGGAGACAAAGATGCCATTGCAAATGTTTATGCTTATCTCAATCAGATGATCACCTCTCCTCCCCTCATGCTCCTAACACAAGGCTGGGCATTTCACCAAATTGCTCACTAATGATTCAGTCTTTTTCAAATTCTCATAGTTGTGTATAATGATTTTAACTGCATCATAAAGGCATACCTGGCATTCAGAACTGTAAACTTTTTATACAGTATACTGGGATAGCAGTTTTAAGATATTCTGGTGGCATTACCTGGCATGCAATCAGACCAAAACTGTAATCATGTGCCATAGCTATGGGCTAGTTTTGCAGTAATCAGACAATTCTATCTGGGTGTATAAACTTTTTTGTCAACAAGTGTGTTTTCTGTAAAATGGTTAGTTTTCATCATAAAATATTTTAGACACATTAATTAGATAACAAATCAAGTTAATAATTATAATAGTTTTTTCACCATTTTTGTTTATATGAGGGATGATGAGGAATTTAAGTTTGTTACAGTATGTTGTGTTACACTAGATCAGAAAAATTACTACTACAAGACACAACTTTCAATGTGTGCTTATTAACTTGTAATATGCATTAGCTTTGTTTTGTTATTTTTATATCACATTGGCTTTCCTACACAGAGTATAGACACAAACCTTGCACCAGGCTACATCTTGCTTCTGCTACTTAATAACTAAATGCAATTGCACTAGAGCAGTGTTCTGCAACCAGTGTGACGTGAACTTTTACATCTGTTAATTTCAAGTTTTATTTATATATTTATATCACAGTTGTTGTGTTTCTTATGCTTGTATTTCATTCTCTGCTACGGTACTGATGAAATAAGATGATGTTTGTTTATTCTTTATTACAAGTCATGCATTTTTATGTATTCTAAGAAATTATATGCAACAGAAATTTGCTCACAGGTGTACTGCACTAGAGTATAGGTAATCGGTAATGTGCTAATTGTTAGTTTGGATACCAAGCATCCCCAGCTTTCCTTCATGTGGGTACAAATCCCATTTTAGGTCCTACAAAAGATAATGGCATATTATCTCAAGATCAGTACAAAACATTTCTTTTTATTTTTAGTCTGGTTAAAATACTCAAAAGGAAAATAGCTGGATATCTCTGTACGACTTCAAACACCTAAGCTCAAGGGCATGCAGTGAAACCTTGGTTTCATCACTCATTTTTTTTTACCGTATCCAGTCGTTTCCCATTTGGATATTTTAGCTGAACAAAAAACATTTTATACTGATCTCAAGACACACTGAACCATTGCAATTTAAAGTAAATTGCAGTCTTTCATAGGACTCGAGATAGGATTTGTCCTCATGTGAAGGGGAGATGGGGTGCACGAAGTCCAAACTGATGAATATCGATTACTTACAGTCCCAGTGCAATTGCGTAATTGGATAGCCGAAGCAAGCTGTAGCTTAGTACAGTGTTTGTGTATATTCTGTTTCAAAGCAATTATATATATAGAGTTTAATATTTTACTGTTTTTAATAATAGCCCACAAAGGATTGTTGCAAGTAGACATTCAATTGATTTTTTGAGTAATCAAGTAGGAATAATAATTAAAGCCAAATGATTGCTGGATTATATTGGGCTATATTATTATAGTGCTAAGTAATTTGACACTAGAGGTAGATGTTAGGTGCCATCTTTTGCTAAATTATAATTATTAAATGTAGCAAAAGATGGCACATAACATATGCCTCTAATGCCAAATTGCTTACCATTTAATTAATAGTAGTAATAATAATATAGCTCAATGTAGTCTGGCTTTAAATATAGAACTATTGGGTTTAAGATTATTATTTCTACAAATATAAACATTTTATTATAACTTCACAACCAACAACTGCCTACCCTTAACCATTAACCGGTGCGAAATTCTTTAAAATCGGCGAACGTTTTCGATTCCCCTCCTGGGATCTTCTTCAGGCTTACTTCTTTATATCTTTCGTTATAACCGGATTCTTTAATTCGAATGTTTTTGAAAAAACGTAACGTGCTATTTTTCGAAAAAATTCCGAAAACGGAAGGAATCCACTTGTTATTTCAAATGTAATTTTCTACCAATGGGGAATCATTGTGTGCATTACGTCATAAAACTTGTCTTATAAACTATATTATGATTTATCGTCAATTAAAAATTGCCATGCTGCAGAGAGATTTATTTCTTCTTTGAAATTAATGCATGCGGATTTACGATCGGCTTTAAATATTTCCAGTGCCTCCAAAGTTCTTAGTTGTTCCGTGTGTTGGGTGGTGCGAATAACATGCGCTTCATCGAAGAAAGGTGTGATGTCCG